CCTGGCGTGAATAAAGAATAGAACCCGAATGCCAAATACACTCATACATACATGGAAATTAACGAGTCTTTTTTCAGTTTTGTAACCCTTAACAGTTACTTTATGTGTGCTTTATGACTAAAAAACAGTCATGTGGCCTGGCCACAAATGGAAAGTTGTTTGTTTGTGGTCTGTGTATTGATGTAAAAACATTTTTTCCTTTATATTAATCCCAAACTACGGAACAATACAGGTAACGCTCCAAGGACATGACCCCATCGACAGGTTTTATATGTAAAAGAATTATTTGAAAACTTTTTTATACGCAATATTTGCAATACTGAACTATTTTTGTGGTTTCCTTATGTAAAAATAAATAATAGAATATTCTCTTTGTTCTGATGTGAAGTGTATTTCATGGCAGTCAAGGGCAGACAGTGTCCATAGCATTTTAATAAAATTCATTGCCTGTTTACCGTTGCATCAGTCGTTGAGTCTCAGCAGTTCGTATGGTTCAGAAGCTTCGCCATCTCGTGATTGACAGACGTTCAGATTTCGATTTAAATTGCCTCGCAAAGCACGCTTTTTAACGCATTTCTGTCAAAACGAACTTCAACCAGCTTTGCAGCCATGCTTGACACGAGGGATTAATCCCTTTCATGTGTCCTATTACAACACATTAAATTCGAGAAACCTACTCCCAACATATCCCATGCTATCGTTTAACTGAAGGCAGATGTCTTTCACGTGACTGCTCGGGTTCCTGCACGGTTATTGGCAATCTCGCATCTGAATGGATCTCTATCGCAAGCGTCGGTGATAGGATGCAGCGAAGAGGGGGGCAGGGGGGTAGTGCTATGTGCTATGTGCATGTGTGCACACGTGCTATGAGTGTGTGACTGACGGATCACTACGTTTTGAAGCACGAAACCTCTTCCCTGTGCTACGCCGCGATATTGTGTGCGAAGGCATCGTGGAGGCGTGTTTCGCGCCGGTGTGCAGGGAATTTCGCATTCGAGATTCTCGACAGGGAGATGCACTCAGTGTTTTCGAGGAGGTGACGCGGTTAATCGGTGCCGCTCTGGCATGTTCCCAACAATGTAATATCCTCGACGGCCAGGAAGATTAAACCCTTAGAGTCTCGCATTTTGTAGCTTGACTTCGCTTTTCGTGATTTAAAAATCTTCTGAAAACTGGACTATAAATGAAAATTACGTTTTTTTATGTTAACCTCACATTACTCTCACAGATATATTTCTACGTCACATAGGAGGAATTTATCGGTATTTAGTACTTGTGTATGAACATTTTCAAGCATTAAATCACGTGTTATAAGATATTTGCTTCAAATATGTAAAGTAAATTCACAAGACTTAAATACTTTTTTTAAATTTGTTGCGTGCATCTTTAATTGACGCAACGCGTCTCCAAGCCCCGCGGGGCGTTGAGCGCTTTGCGCTTCCGGAGTAATCCTCCATTAATACAGCGCAGGAGTAATCCTCAATGAATTCATTTCATGTCATGCCATATCTATCACGTCTCTTCGTAGTCAGATTTCCAGAGGACCGCCAAGTAACACCTCCTCATACGCGCCTCCTACTACGCGCCCCTGCGTCAGTTCATTGTGGTTCTATACTTTTAATTCGTAAGTAAATTTACACAGTGACATGAAAACATCTATGATTTCGAATAAGTATAGTATTAATTTTTTGCTTCTTTAACAAGCAGTAACACTAATTCAAATATTCCATTGATGGTGGTGTACAAAATTTTATGATGCACAAAAATGAATATAACTTGAATATTGTTGAATTTATTTCAGTAATTTCCAGGACTTTGATCGTAAATTTGCCCATTATAGTTTTAATTATATTTCTTATATTTAGTATGGTATTTTTTCCATTCTCGACTACTACGTACTAACACAATAAAGAAAAAGTTTGCGCAGCAATTGCGGTGAAGTGGCGATTTTTCGCCGGAAAAACTTGTGTTGGGGCCATGCAATCAAAGAAAAGGCAAATCTTCATGCTATATGTTGTACATTACCTCCACTAAAACGTTGTGTATTCAGAATCCACGTTTTGTGGATCCTTGATACTGGACTATTAGTTCACGACATAACGTCTATCAGTCCTTCCGCATGCAGTCAATGCTAGGGCTTGGGAATTTGAAAATGATATTTTTATTTCTGAATGTATTTTAGAAGAAATGTAAAGAACATTTTTAAAACATTCTCAAAAATTGCTCCAAATTGTTGACATAATTATTTTCTAGAATAGAACAACGTATGCTTTAAACAAATTGCATAGGTCTCATTTTCGTTTAATTCTAAATCTTCGAAAAGTGAAAAAGTTCAAAATTTCTTCGGTGTCGGTTCTATAATATTGAAGATACAGGTTTGCTTTCGTAATAAAATCTATTTTTCAAAGACACATTGGTGGGTAAATGGTCATCTATAAGTTTTCAAAAGTACGAGTAGTTTTTGAGAAATTTTTGTTACATTTAGGCATTTTTTAAACAATTATTTTGTCAAAAAAGACTTCAAAAGTTTTCTTTAATTTCTCTTTTCGGATAGACGAAACTATGTCATAAAATTGGCGCAAGTACTACTTTCCGTGAACTATCTGTATTTTTGAAAATGACAAAAAACAATAGAGATGATATTTTATATATCAAATCTGTTCTAATTTCAAGATCTTTAAGTAATAGCATGTACAGTTTTTTTAGAAAACTACTAGTTTGGCATAATTTTTGCTTCAAGAAAAGTCACTTTATATACAATTTTCTTTGAAACCGCTTCAAAGTTATTCTTTATTACGTTTCTCGAATGGAACACCGCAGATTCCATTTATAGTGAATGTTCTGGATTTTGAAGATTGCAAAAAATACCATTTAAAAGACCAATTGTAATGAGAGATATTTTTTTCTTTAATAATAATAATAATAATAATAATAATAATAATAATAATAATGTCTTTATTAATGGCGAGGCTTCAGGCCATAGGGCCGGCTTCCTCTTCCGCCTAACGTCACTGAATTTACACTACATTTAGAAATAGTAACATTTTAAGAGGGATGACAAGCTGTACATTTACGTTCTGGGAGAGAGCGAAACCTAAAGGCGACCATCCCGGCAAATACCGCCTTAAGCGACTTAGTAAAACCCAGAAAAACCTCAATCAGGATGGCGGCTTAGGGCCGGAACATTAAGTACTGAGTAAGTTGTACATAGTAGGAAAGGGAAGTTTTCGTAAAAAGAGAAAAAAGAGACGTTTCAGGGAAGGGGTCTAAAATAAAAATGATAAAATATGTGAGAAAGAGGGAAGAAGAAAAGAACCGAAGAAAAGGACGAAGAAGAAGTACGCGAAAAAAGTGAAGTTTTATTTGAGGAACGTTAGAGAAACTACGTTTAGTTTACTGTAGCTTTTTACCTAATATAGCAATATATTTAACACTAAAGAAGCACAATACCACCTGGTAAGCAAATAACGAACAGTAATTTAAACACAATACTGGCAGTAACTAAGGAACAATACAAAGCAGTGCTGGTATCTTAACATCAATTTTGTTTTAATGCACAAATACTATTGTAATAAATATCCTGATGGTAACAGAAGAATAGGCGTACAAGTTATCATTTTTATCTGGAACGTCAACTAATACTTTTGTATATTTTAATAACAATTTCGTTAGGTCGACGAAAAAGTAATGACTGCATTAATTTAGATGCTCATAATTTAGATTTACATAAATGCTTGTGATTAATATTCTCATTTTTAAATAAGTCCATCGTACACTGGTTCGAAAATATTTGAGAATGTTTGAGTACTTTTTTCTTGAAGTAAAGGGCCATTGTCAATAAAAAATATCTCATAAGATACTGGTCAAATTGGTTATTACAACATTTCCCCGAATATAAAATAAAAACAAATACGTTTTAAGAAATGGAACAGTTAACATTTTTAACCTCTTAATTTTCAAACATTGTACAAGTACAAAATAATGCGAATAAATATGCTGGATTATCAGCTCTAGTTAGGCATACAATTAGAGGCAAGTTTCATTCATTTAGTAGGTATCTATATGGAACATTGAGATTCTTTGTAAGTCCTCATTTTTGTAAAATTCAATCAGACAATGAAAAAAGTAACAAATTAATTAATCGAAATATTGGTTTCAGTGTAATTCTTTAAATTCTAATAAATAGTCGAGCTTTTTATGAACTTTCATCGAATATTGACGTCCAATTGATGATAGAAGCTAATTTTACAGCAATATAATTTTAATTATGGGATAAATGAAAGATGCTCTCATTGTAAATCAGCCAGCTTTATTGAGAGGACAATTGGATGTTAATATTTTGTCATCGGTGACCTCGTACATCAATCATTAAAAGGCGAATAAATGGTACATTTATCATCAAAATGAACGTTTTTTAAATTTCAATTCGTTAGGCTGATTTCAGACACCATATTTCCCCAAGCTCTTATCATAATGATCTGCACTCAGTGGTCCATTTACTATGTTAACATGTAAGACAATGCAATTCAAGACCAAAATTGCTTGCTTAGGTCATATTGGGGGCACAATAAATGAAACCAACATATCCATTTTCTAGAAATTTTTATTCTTTCAAAACGATACGCCATACTCGAGAAGACCAACCCCCTAACTTTTTTTTTTTTGGGGGGGGGGGGGGATGTGGGTGGGGGGAGGGGGGGGGGAGGGGGGGGGGGGGGGGGGGGGGGGGTTTCACATGAAAAAATGAAGCCTTAAAACAATGATGATTTTCACTTTTTTCTTCTAAAAACTTTTTTTAAGCCATATATCAGATTTCCCTTCTGTACGGATAGACATTTTTCTTTATAAACCCCTTTTAAATGATATTTTTTTATCTCTCAGGAAAAGGGCTAAATGTTTTAAATCTCTCTCACAACAACTAACGGA